AAGCTTTATTTGGCTTCTATATGAAGATAAAGTCATCCGCTATCAATTCGATTAACCTTTGAAATTCAACTCGTTCTCTAAATGTGTATTTTTTACAGTTTTAGCTGAAGAGAAAACACAAAGTGGCACAGTTTTTCGGCAGCTCCTGTGTGAGCCACACTGAGTTGAGTCTCTACGGTTCTCATGGTGTGTTTAAGTTCCTCTCTTCGCTGGGATTTCTCTATTCGTCTCATCAGACCCGAGAATCCTCCTGACAGCATCATGGCAACAGAAGAAGCTCCCATTGAAGTCGCCGCCGCCCCGGCAAAGGCACCAGCCAAGTCCCCGAAGAAAAAGGCAGCCAAGCCGGCCAAGAAGGTTGGTCCCGGAGCCGCTGAGCTCATCTTGAAGGCGGTCACCGCCTCCAAGGACCGTAAAGGGATCTCTTACATCGCTGTGAAGAAGGCGCTGGCCGCTCAGGGCTACGAACACACCTCTCACATTAAACGCGCCGTGAAGAGGTTACTCGAGAATGGATCACTTGTGCAGGTCAAGGGGATCGGAGCCACCGGCTCCTTCAAGGCAGCCGAGAAGCCCAAGAAAGTAGCGAAGAAGCCCGCAGCCAAAGCCAAGAAGCCGGCAGCAGCAGCAGCGAAGAAACCCGTCGCTAAGAAGCCAGCAGCTAAGAAGGCAGCAACACCCAAGAAGGCGAAGAAGCCTGCTACTGCTGCCAAGAAAACCCCCGTGAAGAAGATCACAAAGAGCCCGAAGAAGAAGGTGGTGGCCAAGAAGGCAGCACCCAAGAAGGCAGCTACCCCCAAGAAGGCAGCGACCCCCAAGAAAGCTGTGAAGAAGGCACCAGCCAGGAAAGCAGCGAAGAAGTAAACAGATCATCTACTTCCTCTACAAAAGGCTCTTTTAAGAGCCACCCACATACACCAAAAGAGCACTTCTCCTGTTTTAATATTACATTCGTTTACACCTGCTACATATTTATTCGCAAAACCAGAAGACATTGTGTTTATTTATTATTATCGTATACAATAAGTTAACTTAGTTAATTAGTAGATGACTTCAATCAATACGACATGTATTAACGCTAATAATAATAGTAATAGTAATTGAATGCTATATCATTAATGCTGTCATCGTTTTACATTGTTTTTACAACACATTTTATTATTTTGCTATTTTAGTAGACATCTGCTTCACAGAAGGCTCCTCTTAGAGTCACTCATAAAATACATATTTTCCCAAACACTTGATTGTGTATAAACCCTATATGTTGTATAGGCCTATATAACTTCATATAAATGTACATAGTACATAATTTTATACTTTTCATAATTCATGTATACATTTTAATATGTGTGGATCGAAAATTATTTAATGCTTCATATCATTGTGACTTTATATTATTACACATTAATGCACTTTTACTTGAGGAGATCAGATTAGCTCCTGATTTTGATAATCAATGTTATGTTTAATAATTATATTTGATTGGATATACTTTAATGGCCGCAAATTGTACATTTGTTTTGTCACATCAGCATGCCAAACTATCTTATAGTGTGCTTCACTTTGAGCCTTTAAAGTACACTTTATTTTATAATATTTCTCTAAGAATACACTCTATATTCTATTTCATAGTATTTGATATTCGATGATTTAATGTGAGGTCTATTGTACTTGACACCATATGTATAAACACTAGATGACTCACCCGCGCTGCTGGCCAATGGAGACCGACGTTGCCACATGGCCGCCATCTTGCTACAGGCAGTGCTCTCATTCATAACATTATGGTTTACTATTTAAATAACCATAGCTTGCTCAATTTTCAACCAATTTTCAAACGGTTTGGTTTTTTATAAACATCAAAGATGTAGTTATGATACTGCATACTTATAATCATACACAAGGTATTTATATGAAATATTTGCCGGTGTATTTATTTCCATTTATTTTATTATATTGTTAATATTTAAAATAAATTATCAAATTAGAATATATTTATATTTTATATATAAAAATCGGTCTCATGTTACCACTCTGTAAGCCAAGAGTTGTTCATTTAGCAATGCCTTAGCTTGAAGAACAGGGACACAACTAATGACAATAGCATATGGTGGTATATATTATTTAGATATTCACACCTTTATCAGAAGAACCAAACCAACATAAAATGAGCTCACTGACAGGCCAGTTTATGTCAATTATTTTTGACATGAGATGTTCATATCGTCCTAGTTTAGTATTTAGTTTCTAGATTTGTAAACAAATCCAGAACCTTTGAAATACGTTACCACTTCACAGCACGGTGCGCTGAGTTCTTGTAGTCGAAAAAAGCCCAAGAATAATATAAACTGTACCCTGTGTCCTTTTGTGTCCTTCTGTAGTCCATTTACTGTTTGTCTTGTCTTATCCCGGCTGATATCTCACTAAATCCACTGTTTTAATTGTTCCCTATATGCCCTGTAAGGTGTCCTTGGGTGTTATGAAAGGCGGCCCCCCAAAATAAATGTAGTATTATTATTATTAAGAAGAACAACTTGGTGTGGTGTGGAGGGGATGTAGGAAGCAGGGGCAGGTGGGGAGAGATGGGGCTTCAAGGTTCAAGGTTATGTTGTTTTAAATGTGTCTTGGAGATAAGGACCAGCTGCACACAATAAAATACAGTATAACACAAAACCAATAAGACACACGGCACACCAACAATCAATCATGGTCCAGCCTCAGCTTTGGTATTCTTTCACAACCATTTTATGGGTTTATTAGACAGACTGAGCAAACATAAACATATGTGGGGAACATAGTGCTGCGTATCAGGGCTGCGAAGTGCAGAAAAAGGCAAAGGAGGTAGAGATATACAAAGTTTCATATGTTGAAGCAACAGAAAAGGTTCATTAAAGTAACATTAATGACATATGTTTAGCAGGCATGACATTTGCTATGACAGAAATTATAATTAGGTCCTTCTTTGGGCGATTTTCCTAATGTGGTTAAAGTGCAAAACACAATAAATCATAGACGACAAATGGGTCGAACAGCTGACCAAAGTTTTTAACTACAGGCCTATTTGAAGCTGAGATGCTGCCAAGTCTTTCTTTGGCCGAGCGTGGTAGGCCCAACTGCTTAAGTTATAACACACTTATTTATTGGAGAAGGTTGTAATATATTTGGCTGAATGGCATGGTTTAAACGGGTTATATGAGACAACACCAAACGGACCCTAGAGATACCCGACATTTTAGTCTAAAAAGAAAGGGTCTGGTTTTAGGGTGAGAGACAGAGAGTGTAAGGACAATCGAGGAGCCAGTACCTGTGACTGAAGGTGGTGAGGCCCATCATGGAACATGAAGATTTAATAAATACATTATATACATACAATATATGATACAATACATATACATTATACGACGGCTCTGATGCTGCCCCCCCAGCAGACCGCAGCAAAGAAGAGTGCACTAGCCACAACAGACCGGTAGAAGATCTCCAGCATCTTGCTGCACACGTGGAAGGATCTCAGCCTCCTCAGAAAATAGAGTCTGCTCATCCCCTTCTTGTGCACAGCGTCAGTGTTGATCCTCCAGTTCAGCCCATTGTCTAAATGCACTCCCAGGTATTTGTAGTCCTCCACAACAGCCACATCCTCTCCCAGAATGCACAGGGGTCATAGCTACAAATCATCCAGACGACCTTTTCTTTAAATCTCGGGAATCATTAGATACATAACTGAAATGGCTTCAAAACCACTTTGATTACTGTGGACAATACCCAGTGGCTGACTTGTGACATTGTGGTATTTAGAACAGAATTGATTTGTACATCTTGGATGTCATATAATCAACATTGTTCAATAGGTGACATTTTTAATATCAAGAATCCTAGCAAGAGTTCTGTTGATGGAAGGATTAGGATTTAGGATTGATATAATGTTCATTGACTGAAAACTGTGTGATATTGCCGAAGGAAAGAGTCTTTAAGTAATGTGGGTGGCTCTTAAAAGAGCCGTTGTTTTTTCAGGTATGTCAGGGTGTAGATGTTTAACCTCCGAAGCCGTACAGAGTGCGGCCCTGCCTCTTCAGGGCATACACCACATCCATGGCGGTCACAGTCTTTCTCTTGGCGTGCTCGGTGTAGGTGACGGCATCACGGATCACATTCTCAAGGAAGACCTTCAGCACCCCACGGGTCTCCTCGTAGATCAGACCGGAGATACGCTTCACTCCGCCACGGCGAGCTAGACGGCGAATAGCGGGCTTGGTGATGCCCTGGATGTTATCACGGAGAACTTTACGGTGACGTTTGGCGCCTCCTTTGCCGAGTCCCTTTCCTCCTTTTCCTCTACCACTCATTTTCGGGTATTGATATGTCGGCTCGTACAGAACGAATGGATAGAAGCAGAATGACCGGCAGTATTTAAATATTCACTGCGGACCTAAGAGAAGACGGTGATCGGGAAAGCTGCTAGGCGGGGCCAACGCTGCAGCCTCCACATTATCTTTCAAAACATTTTCTCTTCCTTTAAATATTGCTAATATAAATCAGTCAGGCTTTATACTAAGCGTTTGATGATTAAACGTTTGTTAATATGTAATAAAACCCTCACATGCTTAATAACATTTATAATTGAAATAAGACCCTTTCTGAGATTAACATTACATTTAAAGTTGATCAAAGTATTCAAAAAAGACTCTTTATGAGACATTCATTCTAAACTGTTTCTGATGAGTCAAGACATACATTTGTATAAAACATGTCAACCATTTGACATAAAAGTAAGAATTAGTCCAATAGAAACACCTGAATCTATACACTGTATTTAGGTGTGGTTGTGTGGCCATCATCAAAATGATTAAATAAACAAATCAAGAAATGTACCAAATAGTTAATGGTAAATATAAAATATAAAGTAACAGACAAATAACCTTGGATTTCTTCAACTTATAACATATTTCAGCTCTCACAAAATGTTATAAGTCTGGTCAATTAAAGCTTTAATTTACACATTTAAAAGGTACTTTTGTAGAGAAAATGTACAATTTTACAAGATAATAAAAACAATATAACTACTGTTTAGCTCTGATAATGATATGCTATCGTATCGAGTCTTTAGCAGGGTTTAGATAGAAACAATTGAGAAGGGTCAAACTCTTTTTCTGAGAGTATGATTCCGATTAAAAAAGTATTTATTTATCCAGTTTATACTTCTGACAGAAGCATAAAAACAAAACATATTCATGATTTGTGTCATTTATGAGATTGAAAAATAAGCCAATTTCATTAATCATATAGGGACATTTCTCAATAGGAAATGTTTGTAAGAGGTGTTCAGATGCAGTGGGTGTTGGTATATCATAAGAGGTAGATTCACTTTCAGGTCTACAGTAGAGCCAAATGCAAAGAGGGCGCAGTATTCACCCCCTTGGCCAGAAAGAAGCCATTGCTTCAGGAAAAAAAAACAAGAAAACACGTTTGGAGTTCGCCAAAAGGCATGCGGAAGATTCCCCAAAATGGATCGTGCGTGCACTTATTCAGAGGAACACGTCTATAGATTTAGTGGGTGGCTCTTAAAAGAGCCTTTGTGTTGTTGGTATATCAGCAGCAGAGTTTACTTGGAGCTGGTGTACTTGGTCACGGCCTTGGTGCCTTCGGACACGGCGTGTTTAGCCAGCTCTCCGGGCAGCAGCAGGCGGACAGCGGTCTGGATCTCCCTGGAGGTGATGGTGCGGCGCTTGTTGTAGTGAGCCAGGCGAGAGGCCTCACCGGCGATGCGCTCAAAGATGTCGCTCACGAAGCAGTTCATGATACCCATGGCCTTGGAGGAGATGCCGGTGTCGGGGTGGACCTGCTTCATCACCTTGTAGACGTAGATGGCGTAGCTCTCCTTCCTGGACTTTCTCCTCTTCTTTCCAGTCTTGCTGACGCTCTTAGCGACGGCTTTCTTTGAGCCCTTCTTGGCCGCTTTAACGGGGGGTGCGTCGGCAGGCATGATTAGAGAGTGAGGTTGGTCAGACTCGATGCCTCACAGACACAGCGCGGTCTATTTATATCCCCTCGATGCAAATACTGCTGTGCTGCTGCTCGCACGGGATTGGTTATCGTCTGCGCATGACTGAGCCCTACGATGTACTTTGATCTGCACCCCCCCTCCCCGTTTTATGTCTTATCCCTGTAGTTTGGTAGCCGCTGGAATGAGCATGTTAAACACTCTTGTCTTTGTCTGATTGAATCAAGGGATCTTATTTAGCTGTGATGTAACACAACCAAGGGTCCTTCTATAATTGAATTAATGATATATATATATATAAATATATATATTTAGTAAAATAGCTATTCACATTTATATTCATATGTTTAAATGTTGTTATAAAATCAACAACATATTTATTATGTAGGTATTTTATGTGTTTTTTTCATTTAAATTATTCCAGTGTATTTCCACCTCAAGTAGCACCTCTGCTCAGTGCATTCTTTACATTTTGTAATAGAGCTGAAGTGTCTTTTTTATAATACAAACTTGTTCATCATTTGAATTGAGCACATGTATTTATTCAGACGTGCTTGATTTTTGGACTGAGCTGTGAAAACACTTAGTAAAAATAAGTTTAAATGCCTTTTCAGCGTTTTTGATGCTGAGCACTATTTTTGCTCCAATCAAGTAAAACAAATTATGACTCTTCTCTCCTGACTGTATGATTTACCTTTTTTAAAGATATTTAATTTAAAGACATTTAAATAATAATGCAACGCTGTTGCAGTGCTTTGTGATTAAGTAAAGTGACAAGCTTTTATGGAAATGTCTTCAGTCATTAATTGTCTAATTTTTTGGTAACAATTTTTTATTATTCCCATTTTCATCACTCAGTGTTCATATATTGTCAAAGATAAAACACAAATGAGTGAACTCCAACCCTTTAGCACTGCATTAAATGCATTTATGAAGGTTAATGAATGTTCTTTGGTTCATGTGGTAATATATTGAACAGCGAGAGATTTGAACTATTATATATGTAAGCGCTTTGAGCATCAGGAAAAAGTGCTAGATAAATGACAGGTATTATTATAATATAGCTAATGTATTAAATGTCTATGTGCCAGCAGTGGCTCTACAGACAGTTCAAACATCAGAATAATGTGCATGGTAGCCTACCATATCTGTGTGGGAATTAAATGTGCAGTAGATGTGTTCCTTCAGTTGGCCATCATAAGGTGAATGATGGATAAACAGTGGGATATTTCTAATAATGGAAGGAGAATTCCCCAGGAAACCTTTATAAAAACCATAAATAATAAAAGGAAGGCGATCTTTAGTTAGGGGTGAGTGTGGCTCTTAAAAGAGCCGTTGGTTTGTTTGAGAGGATGGTTCCTGTGGTTTACTTCTTGGCGGCCTTCTCGGTCTTCTTGGGCAGCAGCACAGCCTGGATGTTGGGCAGCACACCGCCCTGAGCGATGGTCACTCCTCCCAGCAGCTTGTTGAGCTCCTCGTCGTTGCGGACAGCCAGCTGCAGGTGACGGGGGATGATACGGGTCTTCTTGTTGTCGCGGGCAGCGTTTCCAGCCAGCTCCAGGATCTCAGCGGTCAGGTACTCCAGCACAGCCGCCAGGTAGACGGGGGCTCCGGCTCCGACGCGATGAGCATAGTTACCCTTCCTCAGATGTCTGTGGACACGGCCGACAGGGAACTGGAGCCCGGCCCGAGAGGAGCGGGTCTTAGCCTTTGCTCTGGCTTTTCCGCCGGTTTTGCCTCTTCCACTCATTTTTAGATGTACTTTCGAATTCGGTACAAAATAAAGTACTAATTCGACCGAAGAAACCCTCCTTTATATGTTCGAGGAGCGCGGGATGGTTCGCAGCAGAGGGCGGCACAATTTGAAAGGATTTTCCTCCAATAAGCGGCGGATTCTGGCAGAGTGTCGCTCCTCTAGGCGGAGCTGAGCTCCAAAACGAGCCTTGACCAATTAGAAGTCGAAGGACTGAAGCTGCGTCACCATTTCACAGCCGGTTCCAAAGCTTAATATAAATAATGAGGCGAAAGTAGCCAGCAAAATAATAGGAGGGTTAAACAAAGCATTTTGGAGCAGTATTGTAAACAATTCACAATACAGAAGCTAATGAGCTGGCTTATGTACAGGGAGGAATGACCACAGGCCATAACACTATTACACACCTAAGCTATGTAAAGAACATCCATAAACATTCATCTGTTTGCATCTTGCAAATTATGTATATATCATATTCCATTTACTTGTATATAGACTCTTCTTGCAATGTTTCTATTTAAAAATAGAAACATTGCAATAAGTTTGTGTTTGTGTGAGTGCCACACTCCTTCAAGAGTGACAAGATTAGAAATATATTAAAAATAAGAGAGAAGACTTACTTTTGGTCTACCCATGGTATATCACATTGCTTGCTGATGTCTTTTCCTTTTTTTTTTTGGAAAACTTTATTTTAAATTATTTGGCAGTACATGATATACAAAAGTTACATTAATAATACACATAACACACAATGCATAAATATATAAATAACATAAAGAGAGCACGTTTATATTCCAATGAGACTCAGTTCGGTCACAGACTCAAAATGCCCCATGGCTGAGTCTGGGGTTTGTCCAGGGTTTTTCTTCTCCTTAGTTCAGTAAGTATTTGTTTCACGATGGTGCCACTGTTTATTATCGTCTGATTTAGTATCATCTTGCACCTTGTTTTCCAGATTTTCATACATGTTATACAAATTACCAGCTGAAAAAGTTCCCTGTGTTTATTGTCCATCCCCTCATCCAGAATACAATACATAATTGAGGCATATTCTACATTGAACTCCAAATCGATGCCCCGTAGGAGCGACCAGACCTCCTCGGCTCTGTAGCAGTCCATGAGGAGGTGCTGTAAAGTTTTGTCTTCCTCGCAGTTAATCATGGGGCATGTTCTAGTTGAAACAGGACTTGTTTCTGAAAAAGAAACCCAGTCTAATCCTCAGCTTTTTAAGCAGATTAATGACTGAAGTTTAAAAGTAAGACAATCATCAAGCCAGATACCTAGGTATTTGTAACAGGTAACCACTTTGAGTACTTGTCCTTGCATAGTAACAATATCCAAAGCAGTCTCTGGAGTCTTTTTTGCTTTTGAAAAAAGCATTACCTTGGTTTTCTCAACATTTAAAAGAAGTTTAAGCTCAGCGAGCTGAGTCTGAATAATGTTAAAAACAGCCTGGGATAGATGTTAAGGACTAACACATTTATAATGAATACATTTGAATTTATGTTAAGATCTTAAAATCATACGTATTGGGATTCATGTGGACTAATACGTGTGGACCAGAGGGTGACACGCATAACTTTCACCTCACTTTTTATTTAAATTCCAACCTTGGTCATGAAAAATATTTGTTTCTCTATTGTCCACGTTATACATAGTTAAAAGGACATTGATCCCAACCGATTTTTTGATTTACTCATATACAACACGTTATAAAACCCCAATAATACAAATACATAATCAATGGGGGGTTCATTTTACATTTTGTCATCCAATCTGTTTTGATTCTAAAACTCGTTAAGCGCATGCTCCGTCCTGCTCAGAAGACAACCAATCCCGTGGGAGCAACAGCACAGTCATATTTGCATTTGGTGAATATAAAGAGACCGCTCTGTGTCAAAGAAACCATCCGACTGTCCAACCTCACTCTCGAATCATGCCTGCCGACGCACCTCCCGTTAAAGCGGCCAAGAAGGGCTCAAAGAAAGCCGTCGCTAAGACCGTCAGCAAGACTGGAAAGAAGAGGAGAAAGTCCAGGAAGGAGAGCTACGCCATCTACGTCTACAAGGTGATGAAGCAGGTCCACCCCGACACCGGCATCTCCTCCAAGGCCATGGGTATCATGAACTGCTTCGTGAGCGACATCTTTGAGCGCATCGCCGGTGAGGCCTCTCGCCTGGCTCACTACAACAAGCGCCGCACCATCACCTCCAGGGAGATCCAGACCGCTGTCCGCCTGCTGCTGCCCGGAGAGCTGGCTAAACACGCCGTGTCTGAGGGCACCAAGGCCGTGACCAAGTACACCAGCTCCAAGTAAACCCAAACCCGACACACTGCAAACAACGGCTCTTTTAAGAGCCACCCAACCAATCCAAAGAGTTCATCCTGTTATACTCTATAACTACTCTACCAGAAATCTAAATAACTTATTACACTTATGTACAAATGTTATTTATACAGAATGCTTGGTAAAGCAAGATAAACCATGATTGTATGTCGTCCATTCTTCTCTTGACTTAAATACCACCTTATTGGTGTTTGTTTTCCAAAATAAAAATAAATACATTTCACAATATGAAGGAAATGTGGTGGTTATTTTACTGCAATCCTGAGAGAAAATGCTAAATGGTAATATTTATCTTAGCAAATCTTTAGAGGGGACAAATGAACACATTTATTATTAAATGTTGTCCCTCTGCCACCACATACTCAAATGTGCTGTAACAACAATCCAAATGATGTTTCTTGCTGACACTTAAAGCCTCCCTTGAATTATTGATACCGGCAATACAAAGTTATGGGGTTTAATAAGAGAAGAGAATAATTTCACCAATCAGTAATGTCAAAAACACAAACGAAAAATGCTTTGCAAATGCTTGTGAAATAAATAATACATATAAACAACATTCATATGGGCACATACATTTAATATGAACAAGTATGCTATATACCTACATCTTTAACACAAATAAACTCAAATACTTTTATAAGGTGATCTCATTTTTACTGCAGAAGATCATGATTCATTTGCTAATAGGTATTCATTTTACGTCTTACACTCACACTAAAAGCTGGTGCCATTTAAAGACTGTTTCTGCACACTAAATTATTAATTCATTCATTCGTTTGGGTTGTAACTGATGTTAATTCTCATATTTAACTTTTGGCAAATGTTTAGTGTTGTTGACTAAATTATTCCTTTATTTCAGGGCGAGTTTTTCACTACAAATTAGATCATAGTTATACATTAGTAAATGACAGGGTTAGGGTTATATTATATTTAATCATATTTAATTATCCCTAAACTAAACAAACGTTCATTTTGAGGAGCCCCCGGATCATCCCCTGTGGAGGAGTGGTTTACATTGTCCAATAGTAAAGCAGCTACAGCGCACGTGTCTCCCGGCCTGCACCAATCAGCGCTGTCCTGCTCCAGCAGCTCCTTTATAAAGCCGCTGCTCACAGATACACAGCACTACTTCTCTCGCTGTGAACACTGAGAAACTACAATGGCCAGAACCAAGCAGACCGCCCGTAAATCCACCGGAGGAAAGGCTCCCAGGAAGCAGCTGGCCACCAAGGCTGCTCGTAAGAGTGCCCCGGCCACCGGAGGAGTGAAGAAACCTCACCGTTACAGGCCCGGTACCGTGGCTCTGAGGGAGATCCGCCGCTACCAGAAGTCCACCGAGCTGCTGATCCGCAAGCTGCCCTTCCAGCGCCTGGTGAGGGAGATCGCTCAGGACTTCAAGACCGACCTGCGCTTCCAGAGCTCCGCCGTCATGGCTCTTCAGGAGTCTAGCGAGGCTTACCTAGTCGGCCTGTTCGAGGACACCAACCTGTGCGCCATCCACGCCAAGAGGGTTACCATCATGCCCAAAGACATCCAGCTGGCCCGCCGCATCCGCGGTGAGAGGGCTTAAACTGACCTGAGACCAGAACACAAACACAACGGCTCTTTTAAGAGCCACCTACACTTTCAAAGAGTTACAATCCTACTCATGATGACACTGGTTCATATTATTGTTGGTTTACTGTACCGTGATGAATGAAACTAGTTGTTTACTGAAGTTACAAAGACGTTAATATGTGAGTAACGGGTCAGTGGAAACACGCTTATGTCAATTATTATAGAAAAATATGGAATAACGTTCTTCAAGAGCCACAAGGAATACGTATATTCCTTAATAATTTTGGGGGAAGGTTGTTTTTAATTTTACTAAAATCTATCGTTACAACTGTTTCACTTAAAAAAACGATGAGAACAGGTGAGTAATAATAATAATAATAAGATGTATTTTGTAAGCGCTTTTACAGGAGCTCAAAGTCGCTTTACAGAGATAGTGACAAGAAAAGAACAAATACATATGGTTTAAGTCAAATTTAAAATCAAGCAATATAACAACAGCCAGATTGAAGAGGTGAGTTCTTTGAAGGTGGTGAGGTCAGTATTGAGTTTTTTATTCTGTCAGTAAATTATCCAAATGAAATGTTTTTCATAATTTTAGTCAACCCTAAACTAATTAATTTTAGTTGAATTGATCTACCACCAAGATGTTTGATGCATCAGTAAAATAAGAAAGCACGTTTTAGATTCATTTCACAACAGATTTCCCTAAAGAATATAACATAAATCTCATAATTGAACAATTGTTATGATGAAGAATATGCTTAAGACTTGATAATAAAAAATGTACAAAACACATGTAAGTATTATTGGTGATTTCTATCATATTGTATTACCTTGAAACAGAACTTGTTCACATATATGATAAGTTTGTATTAAAACTGTGGCTATAAAGTGGTGTATTTTGTTATTATTAATATAAACTTTAGACTATTTCAATTACACCATGTTCGATTTAGTTTTTTTGTTTGTAATTTAAATAATGAGTGTCTCTTATGCTTTCCTATAAAACAGATAAAGCTTAATATTTGGTATCTAGTGATCATCTGTCACATCATAATTCGTTTATTTGTCCCAGACAGGAAAGTTAGAGAATTGTTACAGAAAATGATAGACAAAATACAGCACCATGATAAGTGAGTAGCAGCGGCAGTATTTAAGTAATTAATTAGTGTAACATTTGACAATCTGGAGAAAGCTGGACTGTATCATGGAGAACCCCCCCCCCCCCCCCATGCAGAGATAGTGAAGATGAGGAGTTCAGCTTCAGACTCATCAGGCTGCACACCCAAGGGCTAACCATCTAACCCGTTAACAGTAACCCGTACTCTACAAAATAATGTATAAAATCTGCTCTGTGTGTACAAAGACCTGCACTCACATCTGCACACTAACATGTAAATATATCTAACAATCTGAACCAAATATTTATATATCTTAACAGTTGTTATATTCTTTTATTTTGAATTTTTTTATTGTTTTGTATAATTGTCTTGTGTGAATCTGTTCTGTCCTGTTTTTCACTCTCACTGTGTTTCTGCTTTACCTCCTGATTTCCCCCACAGGGATAAATAAAGGTCCATATTATCTTTTCTTATTTATGAAATAAGTGTAACATGTAGAAGGAAGTGTGGTTGATAACAAGTTAAATGACATATTTCACTTAATTAGATACAGATCCATGTTACAGCAAAAATGGAATAACTAAGAAGCAGGCAGTATTGGTAATAATCTTAAAAAGGAATGTATTGCACAACAATGTGGAAAGAGATTTAAAAAAGGCTAAATATGAAAGTAAACAATAATTAATCAGAAGTAAACACATTCATAACATCCTGCTCTTACATGGATTACAAGTAGTACTAATAAGTGAAATTAGATATAATTATATAACACTCAGTCTGTGACATCCTTATCCACCTTTTCATGATAATGTGAACACTTGAAGGAACATGTTTACTGCACAGCTTTTACTTCTAGTTTATTACTTCATACAGTGTGGTATTAATATATTTCAATCAGGAGACGGTTTTGATGTAATAATACATATTTATTGCGCAGATGCACAAATGAATGCAATGGTAATTTTGGCGATTAGGCCCCGTTGTGCAGGAAGTATCATTCGGGAGGGTAGAACCGATCCGATGAAACCCCCCTGGGGTCTAGACACTGGTGGTGGTGAATGGATAGTTGGGTCGGTCTGAAGAGGAGTGGTTTAGCTTGACCCTGGATTCAGAGGGACAGGAGGTGATAAGGGGGTTTTTAATATCAAGAAACCTAGCAAGAGTTCTGTTGATGGAATTTAGGTTTGATATAATGTTCATTGACAGAAAAATGTGTGATATTGCCGAAGGAAAGAGTCTTTAAGTAATGTGGGTGGCTCTTAAAAGAGCCGTTGTTTTTTCAGGTATGTCAGGGTGTAGATGTTTAACCTCCGAAGCCGTACAGAGTGCGGCCCTGCCTCTTCAGGGCATACACCACATCCATGGCGGTCACGGTCTTTCTCTTAGCGTGCTCTGTGTAGGTGACGGCATCACGGATCACATTCTCAAGGAAGACCTTCAGCACACCACGGGTCTCCTCGTAGATCAGACCGGAGATACGCTTCACTCCGCCACGGCGAGCCAGACGGCGAATAGCGGGCTTGGTGATGCCCTGGATGTTATCACGGAGAACTTTACGGTGACGCTTGGCGCCTCCTTTGCCGAGTCCTTTTCCTCCTTTACCTCTACCACTCATTTTCGGGTATTGATATGTCGGCTCGTACAGAACGAATGGATAGAAGCAGAATGACCGGCAGTATTTAAATATTCACTGCGGACCTAAGAGAAGACGGTGAGCGGGAAAGCTGCTAGGCGGGGCCAACGCTGCAGCCTCCACATAGAGTGGCGAAGTCACGCCCACTTACTTCCGGTCCATGGGACCTTATTTCGGAAAAATTATGCATTGAAGTCAATGGGGAGAGAAAACTTATCTTTCGATCCCGTTTGAATTGTGCCAGGAATTACACATATGATGTTTGTCAATCTTAAAAAATAATTTCCATGTAAAAAAAGTCACAGTTTGTCGTAAAACTGTTGAAATATAAGACTATGAAAAATACGTAACTAGAAAGACTACAAATCCCAGAGTCGCGTAAGTGATGTCACAATTGTTTTCCTCCACCATTCAGATACCTAAGATCAGCGCAATATAGATATAATCTATATATATGGCGCTGGCTAAGATAAGATAACTTTAACAAGATGCCTGTGTGCTTAGTACCAGGTTGTTATTATACCAGCAATGGGTCTTGCTCGTTCTTTTGCTTCCCGTCTGATGAAAGGACCAGGAGTGGCTTGATCAAGTTAGCTACCTAGCTAGTAGCTAGCACGTTAGTTAGCATTACAGCCTTGTCATTTTTATTAGCCTTAACATGAAGTAACATTAAGTAACCCAAAATGTTAAACAGTAAGAGTAGTAGTCATATTTCGTGAACCCTTTGAATAGTACTGTCACCGGTGTGATCATTCTATAATACACCATTTAAGCCCGGGGGAGAAATGCTAACGCTAACGTTAGCATCGGCAATCTTCTCTACTTCATGCTATCTGCACAAATGGTTGACATTAAACATTAAAACGACCAGGCAGTTCAGAGAGAATCAAAGGAAGGCAGGCAGGCAGCTTTGCATGACATTCTTCAGGACGTGTTTCATTGTGGTGATAGTGAGGGTAGTCAATCGTTTTGTTGACAAGACAGTAGTGACGGCCATCTTGGTGACGTGTGTTGTTGACCAGAGATGTAGTTCATTGAGCGTTTCACACAAACAAATGTGTTACTTCACAGTTTTACGACACTTTTTTTTTTTTTTTGACTTGCAAAATTATCTTTTAAATTGACAAACAACATATGTGTAATTCGTGGCACAATTCAAACGGGATCGAAATATAATCTTTCTCTCTCCATTGACTTCAATACATAATTTTTCCGAAATAAGGTCCCATGGAGGTCCACCGGAAGGTCTGTCGCTCACTGAATCCCTTTAGAATGGATTTCACGAGATATGACAAAACAACTAAAACCCGTATAGACAGGATTTATGTATCGAATCACTTCTCTGTAACCAACTACAGAACCATTTTTAGTGACTTTTCGGATCATCTTTTGGCCCAAACGTCGTTGTCCTCCGGAGCCCCTTCCACTAGAGGCTTCTGGAAACTGAACACACAGTGCCTAAAAAATACTTGTGTTTCAACAGAATTAAAACTGGAAATACAAAAAATTATACAATTGAGATGCTTAACAAACTCTGACATCAAATTATGGGAAACATTAAAAAATAGGTTAAAATGTTTTTTCAAATTTAAATGTAGGGAACTCAATAAAGCAAAAAATATTAAATATGAATCATTAATCAAACAATACATTCATTTTAAAGCAGATGAAAGTTAAAACTAAAATGGTAAAAGAAAATATATCTAAATTAAAAACTGAAATTGATCAATTAAACCAGGAATCATATAATATACATACATCTGAAATAGATCAAAGAGGCAACTTGGCTCAAGCCATTAAAACCAACCAAAAGAAAATCCAAAGTAAATTCATCAAATGTATAAAAAATCAAGAAGGTTGTATTGTGTATAATGAAAAACAGAAACGGGAAGCGATAAGAGATTTATGTTCTGAAGCATATAAAAAAATAGACATTGAAACGGACTGTGTTGAAATTCTGTTGGGAATAATCCCTCCGTACAACATCCAAGAATTTGATTTCCTTCTCGGTGAAATTAGAAAAGACGAGGTGATCCAGGCGGTGAAAGAGCTGAATGTCTGTAAGAGCCCCGGTCCTGATGGCCTGCCCACTGAGTTTTATCAATTATTATCTGATGATGTTTTAAACTTACTGACCTCTATGTTTAATGAAGGTCTCAGCAGTGGTTGTATGGGTGACTCATTTTATGAAGGTGTCTTGTCTCTACTATATAAAAAAAACGATGAAACTGATATAGATAATTACAGACATTTAACTATTATGAATACTGATTATAAGATACTAGCAAAAATAATAATAAATAGATTAACAGATATATTAGATAAAATAATAGATAAAGAGCAAACATGTGCTATAAAAGGTCGCCTTATGTGGGACAACTTATCAATTTTAAGAGAAATCATAAATAAACCAAAAGAAGAAAAAGGTTTTTTTATTATTGGACTTGATCAAAAAAAAGCCTTCGACTATTTATCCAGAGATTACTTATGGTCGGTGATGAAGGCCTACGGATTTCCTGAAGCCTTCATAAACATGATTAAGTGTCTGTATTTTAAGTCTTGTGTCTGTGTAAATGTAAACGGTGTGTTAACAAATGCATTTAATGTTGAAAGAAGGGTTAAGCAGGGGTGCCCTCTAAGCGCAGCTCTATACGTGCTAGCCATAAGTCCATTAATTAAAATAATAAACAATGACAGGTTAATATCAGGAACACCAGTTGGCCATGCGCCCAAAATAACTGCCATCGCCTATGCAGACGATGTCACTGTTATTATAAAAAACCAACAAGAAATGGATGTTCTAACAAATCACCTAAACTTATATGAATTGGCATCAGGAGCTAAATTAAACCACAACAAAACTGAAGGTGTTTGGATCGGCACCGACGATGCCAAATGCGACATCAACATTCAAGTGAAAAAATTAATTAAAATACTTGGAATAACTATTTGTAGCGACAACTGTGCTGAACTCAATTGGGAGAACAAACTAAGTGAAGTCAAAGAACAAGTTAAACAATGGGAGAATAAAAATACAAATTATAAATCAAGAATAAACATAATAAAATCATTCATACTTAGCAAGATCCTTTTTCTAGCAAACATTTTCCCCCCACCAGCCCAAATAATTATGCAATTAAACAAACAGTGCGTCAATTTGGTGTGGGGTACAACAAGGGAGGTTACTAAACGTAATTTGTTATTTAAAAGTAGGGAATATGGAGGCCTGGGAGCCATAGACCTGGTCATTAAACTAAAAATTACCTTTGTAAAAAACATCTCGGCTGCAATAAATAGGAAAGCACCTTGGGTCGAGGATGGAAAAATGGGATGGAACAAAAGAAGAGGCAGAGCTAGAAATGGTCCATATTATAAATTAGTTTATGGTGATTTCACAACTGAAGTTCAACATTTAGGGATTGATTGGATCGGACTACAGAATAGAGTGATTTTTAAAATGGTAAATGATTTCAAATATGGAGGTTTTATATACAAAAACCTAAACCCTGACGAAGGTAACGAAGTCCTGAAATTAGTGAAATGTAAACAGATTTCAGAGAGCATGAGAGACGTGAGGTGGCTGATATCTGTCAACAGACTTGCGGTCAGAGCTGTGGTCTCATGGAGCTGCTATGTCAAGACTAAAACATGCCCCATGATTAACTGTGGGGAGGACGAGACCTTGCAGCACCTCCTCATGGACTGCTACAGAGCCGAGGAGGTGTGGTCGCTCCTACGGGGCATCGGTTTGGAGTTCAATGTAGAATATGCCTCAGTCATGTATTGTATTCTGGATGAGGGGATGTTCATAAAACACAGGGAACTTTTTCAGCTGGTAATTTGTATAACATGTATGAAAATCTGGAAAACAAGGTGCAAGATGATACTAAATCAGACGATAATAAACAGTGGCACCATCGTGAAACAAATAATTACTGAACTAAGGAGAAGAAAAACCATGGACAAATCCCAGACTCTGCCATGGGGCATTCTGAGGCTGTGACCGAACTGAGTCTCATTGGAATATAAACGTGCTCTCTTTATGTTATTTATATATTTATCCATTGTGTGTATTGTTAATGTGACTTTTGTATATCATGTACTGCCGAATAATTTAAAATAAAGTTTTCTAAAAAAAAAAAAAAAAGATAAGGGGGTGGAGGAGGGTTGCGCCGATTCACCTGGAATGAGAGCTGTCAGAGGGGAGAGCAGATTTAAAAAGTTTGACGGAGCGCTATGATAGGCTCTTGGGAATAGAGCGAAGTGATTGGTTAAGCTGAAGAGTGACGCCCCCGGTCACTTATTGAGAGGAGAGAGAGTAATAACATGGGAATAGAAATACATGAATGAGTAGAGACGGTCTTCCTGGTTGAACTTGCGCTGAGCTTCATTTCTTCCATCATTTATTCTGATTATCTCCATCATTCACTGACTCATGTTTGGATTTTAGTTGGAGAAGACTCCTGAATGTGTTTGAGATTCAAGTTTCAAGGCTTTATCATCATGTGCAAGTCACAGGCTCCTCCAACAGAGCAACATGAATATATAGGACATAAAACAGAATAAATAGTGCAAGAGAATGTTTTGATATGTGCAATGTACAAAATGAAATAAAAATAGTTCCAGAAGAGTCTATAAACAAGTAAAAGGAATATGATGTATAAATAATAGTGGCATTTATTAATTGACATATAAAAGGCAAGCAACAATTCTGAATGAAAAATACACCATGATTTCAATCAGGAGAGACTTCATTTTGTTTAAATAACATTTATTGAAACATGCCATATGATAAATGTTAAGTCTTTGGCGATAAGACCCCGATCCTGAAATCGTATATCTAAAGGGGGAAATGCAGCCGTGAGCATATAGGGAACCCCCAAAAAGGAAGAAAGTGGATGGGAGATTAAGATCGGACCACTAGACGAAGGATCTTACCTTACCAGGTGGCATGGATTCTGTTGAGACATGATTGAGAATTAGACAGAGAATAGAAGACGGTG